GTGTGGGAGTGAAAAGTTTACGGGAAGTCTGGCAGAATCGTGCGTCCGTTGTGGGGTTATGTGTTGGCGAACATGACCGGACACGCACTCCAGAAAGAGAAGGGGGGAATGAAAAGTCAAGGATGACTTGACAAAATCGTCATTTAAATTTGTGTCGGCCCCGAAAAAAACTGCATCAGGCAGAAGAAGCTAGGCCGAAAACCCGACGGCCATAAGCATTTCCGTGCATGTTCCGAAGAACACCATGGAGCCAATCAGGTACCGCCTCCAATGAAGCAGGCCGCCATGATCACGCGCACGAGCGGGGAGGGCCCGATAGGACAGGAAGTGGGCCGTTTGCCCCCGCCATGAACATCATATGGGGGGGGGGGGGACACAAAGGGCAGGAAGTGGCCTCTCTGTTCCCAAGGCTGGGGGGCGAGCGGCCCCACCAAGATCATGACTACGCAGTCGAGTGGGGAGGGCCACGTAGGGCAAGAAGTGGGTATTTTGTTCCCAAGCCATAATATTACGCACACACATGGGGAGGGCCAGATAGGGTGACAATTGGCCACGTAGGGCAAGAAGTGGGTATTTTGTTCCCAAGTCATATACATAATATTATAGACGTATGTACATAGTACATGTTTGCATTTTGTTTGAATACTTGAAGAATAGCTTTGTTTTTTTTTTTACTGAAACAAAGGTCGCCCGCCACATTCTGAGTAAGTGTACAATGTGGCACTCACGTCGATCCAGCCTTTGGTCCCAGGTCTCCGTGCAGCCAAAAGTGGCAGGCCGTATGGGGTTACATCAGACAATGTGGCATGCACAAACGCCCACCGGGTCAAGTACAGGAAGACACGTGGACACATATCTATGCTTTCGGACAGATGGCGCGCCGCAGTGGCCAGAAGCTTACAACGTGCACCCACCCTAACATGGGCTCGGGCACAGTTCTCCTTTGAGCCGAAAGTCGAGTACCACATCGGGCAAAAGGGTCTTCAGACGGAAGCAGCAAAAAAAAAAAAAAAAAAAAAAAAAAAAAAAAAAAAAGGAGGAAGCAGCTCATCGGCCCCTATACAAGGGCGACGGCTCTCTTCAGATCCGGATGACCGTCGTTCAAACATTTGAGGAGGGGTAGGGAGCCAGACTGTGGGGGAAACCTCTGGAACAAAGGGCCGAATCTCAACAGATCGTGACGACAAGGCCACTCTACTGCTTACAACACTCCGTTCTTTGTCTAAGTCGTCTGCAAAGGGTTTGACTCCCCGAGYGAAAGAAATTGCGATGAAGAGACCCCCAGGGCGTCGGTGCTCCGCCGCAGGAGGGACAACTCCGAACTTATGCTTTCGGGGCCAGACCGGCTGGCCCTATCGACAGCCTTGTGTCATCCAAGGCGGCAGACGCCGTCGCTGCAACCACAAATTCTGACTTAGAGGCGTTCAGTCATAATCCCACGCACAGTAGCTTTGTACCGCTGGCGTTTCAGCCAAGCACAATTGCCAATTGTGCGAACCAACGGTTCCTCTCGTACTTGGTTGGATTAACATTGCGACGGCAGTGCATCAGTAGGGTACAATTAACCTGTGTCACGACGGTCTAAACCCAGCTCATGTTCCATGGTGGTGAGTGAACAATCCAACACTTGGTGAATTCTGCTTCACAATGATAGAAAGAGCCGACATCGAAGGATGAAAAAGCAACGTCGCTATGAACGCTTGGCTGCCACAAGCCAGTTATCCCTGTGGTAACTTTTCTGACACCACTAGCTTCAAGTCTTGAAATGCTAAAGGATCGATAGGCCATGCTCTCACAGTTTGTATTTGTACTGGAAATCAAAATCAAATGAGTTTTTGCCCTTTTGCTCCACACAAGATTTTTGTTCTCGTTGAGCTCATCTTAGGACACCTGCGTTATCTTCTAACAGTTGTGCCACTCCAGCCAAACTCCCCACCTTACAATGTATTTCGCTTGGATCGGACAGGCCACGAGGGCCTGCACCTTGGATCGAGAAGCAGGGGCAGAGCCCCGGCTCCACCGCACGAAATAAGTAAAATAACGTTAAAAGTAGTGGTATTTCACTTGCGCCGTAAGGCTCCCACTTATTCTACACCTCTCAAGTCATTTCACAGAGTCGAACTMGAGTCAAGCTCAACAGGGTCTTCTTTCCCCGCCGATTCTTCCAAGCCGGTTCCCTTGGCTGTGGTTTCGCAGGATGGTAGATAGGGACAGTGGGAATCTCGTTAATCCATTCATGCGCGTCACTAATTAGATGACGAGGCATTTGGCTACCTTAAGAGAGTC